CTGTGGGGGGAACTGGTGGAGTCCATTCAAACTGACAAGGCACGTTTCCAGTGACCGAGACCTCGCGCAGCATCCACTCGGCAGGCAGCAATCCTGGTGCGTTTACGAGGATGAAGCATTTAAATGATGTTTGTCACAAAATTACTTGACTGAGTGAAAAATGGGAAACCTCTCACGAGCCCATCAACAGGAGAGGAGCTCATTAAACAGCTAAAAATAACGAGGTGCATCTGGGTGTGTGAATGTGGAGGGACAGCTGAGACAAAGCACTCAGAAGATAAAAAGCACGTCACCAAATGAAAGGCCCAGCATAAGGCCATTGTGTCTCCCTCACTCCCTCCCTGCCTTACAGAAACACCAGGGTTTCTTCAGTGGCACCTTTGCGGACAGAAACAGAAGGACTTGGGAAAGGGTCTGGGAGCAGTCTTGGGGAGATGCAGGGCCACTGTGACCCGTCTCCTTTCCTGAAGGCCTGCTGAAGGCATTGATGGTAACTGGGCTGGGAGCCTTGCGGGGGGTTGGGGGGGCGGCGGACAGAAGGACAGGGTGGGGTGAGTGGAGAGGTGGCACAGGTCAGTGTCTGTTTCAAAAGCAGGGCAGCTGCATGCAAGTTCACAGCATCAGCATCCTTGTTTTTAAAAGTCTCCATTTAATTTGTTACAATACTGCTTTTATGTTCTAGAGTTTGAGCTGCGAGATAAGTGGGACCTTCGTTTCCGGACCAGGGACTGAACCCATAACCCACTGCACTGAAGGTGAAGTCTTAGCTACTGGACCACCAGGGACGTCCCCACAGCATCATTTTTTACAATAACCAAAAGGCAGATCAACCCAAATGCCCAGAATCGTTAAGTCCATAGAGACAGAAAGCACGTTAGCATCTGTCATGGGGTGGGGGGTAGGGGGTGTGACTGATAGGTACAGGGTCTCTTTCTGACACGAGAAAGTTACAGAATTAAAGACGGTGGTCGCACAACCCTGTGAGTGGACTTATATGCCACTGAAGTGTTCATTATAAAGTGGTTAGTTTTACGGGATGTGAATTTCACCTCAACAAAAATAAACTGTTAAAAAGCAGGGCGATACTTATTTTGATAACCAGGTGGAATCAACCATGAGCACCACCAAGATTTGCTCCTCCAGGAAGGATCTGGGTCGTAACACCAGAGCCAGGATGACCCTTGATGAAGGACATGTCTGTTGTTAAGGACATGGGGAAATGTTTGCTACTAATTAACAAAAGTCAAATACTCCGATGGTGACAAGATGCTAAGGTAATAACTCCACTCTGCCAGACATTTGGAAGAAAAATGTGAAGAAAGTACTGACCTGGCCCTCAGGGCCTTCTAGGGGTAGAAACAGTCCGAAAACAAACCATTATGTGATAAATTGAGTGCCAGAAGGGTGCTGACCATTTAGGGAAAAGACAGAAGGAAATGACTACTTCCCTGAAATGTCAAACAAGCACACCTCCGAGTTGGGGGTCTTTTAGGGTCATGGGGAAGGAGGGGGACTCAGAAGGAAAGCGCCTGAAGGCATCTTTAAGATGCAGTTACAAATGCCCATTTTCTAGTGAGGTTAGAGTTCCTGTATCCTCAGGCACTCCCTGCCCCCAGTGCCTCCACTAGGTCCTCTCAGCAGCTCCCTTGTTCCTGATCCACGACTGTTTTGAATCTCAAATCCCACCCCCCACCCACATTTTAAGACAACGACTTTGCACCCTTTTCCACCTGAAATGGAAGCTGCCACTGTGAAACGCCTTCACTTTCCCAGGCTGCGCCCACAAGTCTCCCCGCATCCCGGCTGCCTCTTGCTGCTCTGGGGCCCCCAGATCAGGACCTGACCTCCGCACCCCCGTGCTGCACAGTCCCTGCCTTCAAGTTCCCCTGCTGTTTACATCCTATCAGTGTGGGACGGTACAACTGAGCAACCGGTACTGCTGCACTCTCATCAACTGAGCCTATCGTTTCCACATCTTACAACCTGTGGGTTTTGACAAAGGTATCTACCATGACAGGCAGAGTCCTCTCACTGCCCTGAAAATCCTCTGTGCTCGCTTATTCCTCCTGCCTCCTGCCTTCTCCCAAGTTCTAGCAACCACTCATCTTTGACTATCGCCATAGTTTTGCTCTTTACAAAATGTTACACTTGGCATCACGGTCTATGAGCCTTTCAGCCTGGCTGCGTTCGCTCAGGGGTACACATTTAAGGCTCCTCCATGCCTGTCCACGGAGTGACAGCTCATTTCTTTTCAGTGCTGGGTAATAATCTGCTGACCGGAATAACCATGAGTACCCCCGCATCGGCCGAAGGCATCTTGGTTGTTTGCAATGTTGGGTGACTTTGGTGAAGCTGCTCTGAGCATCCGGGGACGGGTCTCGGCGTTTTAACCCAGGCGAGTCTCCCTGCTGCATTCCCTCCTCCGCGGCTCCTTCTCCACCTCCTTCCCCGTCTCTCCCTTTCTCCCCTCACCTCCCACTCGCTTGTCGACTCCACCCGGTCTCGCCTCCGTTCTTGACGTTTCTGAACCAGGTTTGGCGTGCCCGCTTGCGCGCGCGCCGAGCAAGTCAAAGGGTGGAGACGCTGAGGTCTGCAGCGCAGAGAGGCGGGTATTTGCAAGGCGGCCGAGTGGGGAGATAGAACAGGTCTCAGAGCAGCCGCCCCAAAAGCAAGGGGCTAACGGACCGTGGGATAAAGCCGCGCAGCATGGGAGGCGCGTGGGGGAGGTGATGGGATAAGGGGCGGGCCGGATGGTTCTGCGCAAGCGCAGCTAAGCCAAGTCACCACCTGAGGGTGGCCTTTCCGCCCTCTGTCGTCAATGTCCCTGGGCGCATGCTCATGCATGCTCGGTTGGGGGTCTTAACAGGCTCTGCTCCAACCGTGCGTGTCGCTTCGGTCGTGTACGCGACTCTTTGGGACTCCATGGTCTGTAGCCCACCAGGCTCCTCTGTCCATGGGATTCTCCAGGCAAGCATACTGGACTGGGTTGCCATTTCCTCCTCCAGGGGATCTTCCCAATCCAGGGATCAAACCCCTGTCTCTTACATCTCCTGCATTGGCAGGTGGATTCTTTACCATAAGCACCACGCGAGAAAGCCCACAGCTGACTCCAAATTCCTGGACCACAACTTGGGCAAACAACTTGTAGTTTAGACTCTGTGCTGCTTGGAGGGTGGTGCAAGTTTTATGCAGACGACCTTTGATGAGTGAAGGCGCATGAAATGGATTTGAGTAATGACTACCCAGGGCTTCGGTAAGTTTAGCAAAGCGGTTCTCCAAGTCTGGTGTCTGGAGCAGCAGCAGCATCACCACTTGAGAACTCACTAGAAATGCAGTTACCGGCACCCTGGGCCTGCAGAGTCAGACAGGGGCGTCATGCTGTCTTGTGCGTTTTTAATTTCCCTGCCTGATACTGATGAGCCTCCGAGTTTGAGAACTACAGCACTAGACACACAGCCCTGGACGATCCTGGCATCTCTGAACTTAACAGCACCCAAAGACAGTGCAATACCTCCTCACACCCTCCAGAACAGGTACATCAAACTCTGCAACAACAAGCGTCCACCAGGATGTGGAGGAACTGGAACCCTAACACACCACAGGTGGGAAAGTACAACAGTGCTGCCACTGCAGAAAAGTATGGTATCTCTGGGACTGAACACAGTTAGCATATAACCTGGCAGTTCCATTCCTAAACGCCCATGAGAAATGAAAACATACATCCACGAGAAAACTTGCACACCCGAGTTCCTAGTAGCACTATTTACACTAGCCTAAGGGTAGAAGCCCAGGGATGGGGTCGCACAGAGTCGGACATGACTGAAGTGACTTAGCAGTAGCAGCAGTAAAGGGAGAAGCAACTCACGTGCCCGTAGATGAAAGGAAAAACACAAAGGGATCTATTCACGAGGGAACATTATTCAGCCATAAAAAGCGATGAAGAACTGACACGTGCTACAACATGGATGAACCTTGAAAACACAATGCTCAGTGAAGAAAACTAGCCTCGGAGGAAGCCACATATTGTATGGTTCTGTTTGCATGTAACGTCCAGAGCAGCAGATCCATAGCGACGGGAAAGAGATGAGTGGTTGCCAGGGGCTACAGTGGGGGTGGGGAACAGTGCGTTGATGTCTACATCGTCAGTGTATGGGGCCTCTTCTTGAGGTGATGCAAATGTCTTAAAGTTGACTATGGAGACAGCTGCACATATCTGGGTATCTGGAGAGCCACTGACCCTGGACACTAAATAGATGAACTGTAGCCCGACAAAGCTGCTTAAAACACACACACACAAAGCTCCCCATTGGTTTTAATATCCGGTCAGGAGTCTTCAGCAGCTTACAGTCTGGTCCCATCATTTCATGGCATACAGATGGGGAAAAAGTGGAAGCTATGGAAGAAGAGCTGTGACAAACCCAGACAGCACATTAAAAAGCAGAGACATCGCTTTGCTGACAAAGGTCTGGTCTAGTCAAAGCTGTGGTTTTTCCAGAAGTCATGTACGGATGTGACAGTTGGACTATAAAAAAGACTGAGTGCCAAAGAATTAATGCTTGCCAACTGTGGTGCTGAAGAAGACTCTTGAGAGTCCCGTGGACTGCAAGGAGATCCAACCAGTCAGTCCTGAAGGAAACCAACCCTGAATAATCTTTGGAAAGACTGATGCTGAAGCTCCAATATTTTGGCCACCTCACGGGAAGAACAGACTCATTGAAAAAGCCCCTGATGCTGGGAGATTGAGGGCAGGAGGAGAAGGGGATGACGGAGGATGAGACGGTTGGATGGCATCACTGACTTGATGGACGTGAATCTGAGCAAACTCCAGGAGACAGTGAAGGACAGGGGAGCCTGGTGTGCCGCAGTCCATGGGGATGCGAAGAGTCTCACACGACTTAGAAACTGACCACCACAAAGCCCGGAATGGCTACAGAATGGCCCAGGGGAGGCTGTCTCTCCACTGTGATGCTTTTGTGCTCTTTTTTTTCCTCAGAAGCAGCTCACTTGGGTCCCTGCTCTGGGCTGCCCCCAGCCCCGTCCCTTCCACTCTCTGAGGATGCCATGCCTTTTCCTTCATCATGCTCACCACAGTTTGTGAAACATCTCCGTTTCTGTTTCATTAGCATCTGGTTCTCCCAGGAGACCCTGAGCTCCGCCGCGCCCGGCACCAGGTCGCTTCTATCTGCAGCACCAAGCACGGTACCTGGCACGGAGAAGGTGCTCAGTAAACAGTAATCACAGTAACTAATATTAATGGAAATGCTAATTAGCTTCCACACACCTGTGGGGAATGCATCAATACTCTTCAAATGCATGCAGAAATCATTATAATTGCTTTTCTTCTTCGCTGAGCATAAATCTCATATAATTGCCCATCTTTGAGTTGGAAATAAACTTGGAGAGGTCGCTGTCATTGATTGCATGAGTTAAAAAGCCCCTAATCCCAGCTGACCTTTTCATCTATAAACTCCTAATCTGGCATAGGGGGAAGGTGTGTGATTAGGTGAGAAGCTTTGTAAAGAGTCAGATAGAACCTGGGAGCATCCACCTTCATTATCCTGTCTGAAAGACAGGCCAATGTTGGAATCTTGACATAAATTTATCAAAGTTGTCCACTCATGTCAGTCTTGGCTTTCAAGATATTTATTATTTCTTGAAGGCTTGTGACAAGAAGGTCAAAGAAAAGCATAACAATGGAGACTGATGTCAGGAGGACAAGATTGTCCAAGGATGAAGTGTGGCGGTGCTTATCAGTGATGCTCTCTGACGGGGTCCACGGCTGTGTTCGCTTGTTTGGGCTCACATCACAGAGCACTGTGGCGCTTCCCAGGTGGCGCTGGTGGTAAAGAACCTGCCTGCCAATGCAGGAGACGTAAGAGAGGTGGGTTTGATCCCTGGGCTGGGAAGATCCCCTGGAGGAGGGCAGGGCAACCCACTCCAGTGTTCCTGTCTGGAGACTCCCATGGACAGAGGAGCCTGGCGGGCTACTGCCACAAAAGACTCAGACATGACTTAGTGACTAAACAACAAAAGGAAATGCCAACATTAGATATTCCTTGGATGGTATTTTGATCACATGGCATATACGCTCTTATCACTACAACAGGGTTACTTACTAAATAAATCTGAGACGAACTCTGACAGTTCTGATAAATCCGACCACAAGATCCTGGTACAACACAGATGCTTAGTGATGACATTCCAACAGGTGTGAGGTGATACTTCCTGTGTGATTTGCATGTCCCTGACGGTTAGTGCTGTGGGACATCTTCGCATAGGCCTGTTGGTCATTTTGATGCCCTCTTTGGAAAAATGTCTATTTTGTTCTCCTGCCCATTTTTAATCAGATGGGTTTTGTTGTTGTTATTAAGTTCTGTAAATTCTTTACTTACTTTGCATATTAGCCTCCTATCTGATACATGGTTTGCAAAGCTTTTCCCCCACCCTGTAAGGTCCCTCTTCACTTTGTTAACTGTTTCTCTTGCCAGGCAGAAACACTTGTGTTGGATGTAGTCCCATGTGTTGATTTCTGCTTCGCTGTTTGTGCTTTTGGAGTCGTGTGAAAAAAGAAAAACAAAAAAAAAACAAAAACAAACATTCCAAAGGCCAACACTCAGGAGCTCCTCCCTACGCTCTCTTCCAGGAATGTTATGGTATCAGGTCTTACATTTCAGTCTTTGATCTTTTAACGAATTAAAGATGTTTTTCATCAGCAGTTGTTTCATGCTACTATAAACAATGCCAGTTTCTCATCTCACTGGAGGGCTCCATGCAGCCCTGTGTTTTTTTCATCAGGCATCTTCATATACCTTTGGAGACAATTCCTCCCCCTCAGTTTTCAAGTCCTGAAGATCGACTAAGAGATATTTTTGGACAAACCACTGGTCCTGCCTCTGATCTCTTCTCACCAAGGACCCTAGGAGCTGCCTTCATAAACAGTGCTTCATCTGGCTAGCGGCTGGGGCTAAACTGTCCTAGCTGACATGTTTGTTAGTTTTTGATTTAACAAACATTTTTCCTCTAGCATTTTCCTCAGCAGAAGACCTAGGAAAACCCCACGTGCTCCACTCAGTCTGTTTATGGAACCATCTGTGTGTGCCAAGCATGGTGCCAGGTGCTGGATTGACTGGAACTCATCTTTGATTCTGGATCAAGTCGCTCCCTTCAATGATGAAAAATTTCTAGATATTTCTCAAAGTGTGGCCCCAAAGATTTCTTTCCGTCAACTGGGACACTTGTTAAAAAACTTATCTGGGGCTTCCAGGTGTCGCAGTGGTAAAGAATCTGCTTGCCAATGCAGGAGATGCAGGTTCAGTCCCTGGGTTGGGAAGATGAATGGCAACCTACTCCAGGATTCTTGCCTGGGAAACCCCATGGACAGAGGAGCCTAGTGGGCTCTAGCTAAGGAAGACACTTACGAGGAAAAACGAAATCCAAGCAGGTCTCACATGTTGTCACAGCTGTTTGCTGTTCAGTTGCTCAGTCGTGTCCGATTCTTTCTGACCCCACAGACTGCCAGACTCCTCTGTCCATGGGATTTCCCAGGCAAGAATCCTGGAGTGGGCTGCCATTCCTTCTCCAGTTGTCCCAGGAACACTCTGAGAGAGGAATCCTTACAACACCCTCATGGAAGGAGGGTGTGAGCTATGGGTTTACATCCAGCCAAACTTTGCTTGAAGTGTAAAGACTACCCACAAAACTGTGTTTGACTGAGAACACACCATTCTGAGAAAACTTCTCAGGAAACTACTGAAGGAGGCTGAGTGCTGAAGAATTGATGCTTTTGAATTGTGGTGCTGGAGAAAAGACTCTTGAGAGTTCCTTGGACAGCAAGGAGATCAAACTAATCATTCTTAAAGGAAGTCAACCCTTGAATATTCATTGGAAGGACTGATGCTAAAGCTGAAGCTCCAATACTCTGGCCACCTTATGCAAAGAGCTGACTCATTGGAAAAGACCCTGATGCTGGCAAAGATTGAGGGCAAGAAGAGAAGGGGGTGACAGAGGATGAGATGGTTGGATGGCATCACTGACTCAATGGACATGAGTTTGGGCAAACTCTAGAGAAGCCTGGCATGCTGCAGTCCATGGGGTCACAAAGACCTGGACATGACTTAGCAAATGAACAATAAAACAGCCAAGCAGCATGTGAACAGAAAAAGAAGAAAATCTGTTACCTTCTTTTCTTGGGAAGAGCATAAGCTTGATATTAATACCTGACGGACTGCAGTAGAAGCAGACATAGAACCACCACTAGTTACCATGAACGATAATAGTAGTACGATAATAATTCACTACCAGCCACTCTCACCCATGAGTGTAGATGCAAAATTTCTAAATAAAATACCATACTAGTGAATGAATCGAGTAACAGTATCAAATACATCACAACCAAGAACTTTATTATGGACTATAAGAACAATTTGAGGAAATCTAATAAAATAATGTAATTCAATGGGAAATGAAAAGATCATCATTTTATGCTGAAAGGGCATTTGAAAAATTTCAGTATCCATTCTATTTTTTTTTTTAAAAAGGCGCCCAAAGAAACAGGGATAGGATACATGGATACCCTATCCACAGATACCTACTAAAATATATTTATCTCTGCTTAACCCCTAGCATCATTCTCAATGGCAGTCCCCCAGAAGCACTGTCACTGGAGTCAGGGACATAACAGTGATGGCAGCTGTCACTGTGATTCACACTGCACTGGAGAGTCTCAACCATGCAGTGAGGAAGGGAGGACACCACATCCACCACATCGTGTCCTCCTGAAGGGATTAATCGTGGGTCTAATCAGCCTCTGGAGCCAGTCGCCAATGTGCAGGAACTACAGAGACCAGGGGGTCCCGCTGAAGGGCACTGGGGAGATGCAATCAGCCAAAAGCACCTCAGATTTTTCTGCAGTAAAAGTGCAAGGAAAAAAAAATGGGAGGGAAATCCTGAGATGGAATGAGACTTAAAAGATAACATCACTTTTTTAAAAAAGTGGGCAAGACTGAGCTAGAGTGCCCTGCAGAGGCACAGTAGGCGATCATTTTTTTTCCCTGAGAAATGCAAGCAGTCCGCCCAAGGAACACACTGAAGAAGCCCTCCTCACCCACGAGCCTGGAGACGACGTGTAGGGGAGGCTCACTCCAGCACTGCCGGTAACTGCTCAGGGCTGCCAATGAGCTAAACGGCCAACAACGGAAGAACTAATAAAGGGACTGCCGTTTCTTCACCCAGTGAAGGACTACGCAGCAATTACACAGAGGAGCTGTGGCCACATGCATCAATATGTATAAATCTCAGAAACAGTCCAGGATAAAAAAACCAGCCGAAAGATCTGTACAGAAGGTTACCTTCAAGAGAGGCTTCCCAGGTAGCTCAGTGGTAAAGAATTCACCTGCCAATGCAGGAGCAGGAATCGAAGGTTCAGTCCCTGGGTTGGGAAGATCTCCTGGAGGAGGAAATGGCAACCTGCTCCAGTATTCTTGCCAGGATAATCCCATGGACAGAGGAGCCCGGTGGGCTAGAGTTCATGGGGTTGCCAAGGGTTGGGCGCGACTGAGCACACACACTACCTTCAATATATGGGGTTGTAAAAATGGAAAGAATACCCTATAAAATCCATGGAACTATCTCTGTATTAATAGCAAAAAACATAAAAACTAACTCTAACCCCTAACCCCAACCCCTAACCTCAACACAAACCCCTAACCCTTAACCCCTAACTGTAACCCCTCGGGAGTGTGTGGAGGGGCTGCAGGCATTCCTGGTGGGGCCTCTGGCAGTGGCTGTCTGGGACTACACTTGGGAGAGAAATACCACTGTTTCCAATGTGTTTCCACTGCAATGGAGCCAATGCAAGGGATCCACTGCATGGTGCAAAGTGGGGAGGCTTCTCAGTTTGGCAAATGAGAGGGGAAAAAATGACAACCATTTTGGCAAAGCTGAAGATCTTCATATTTCAAAATGCTACAGCATAAACAATGTGTTTTGATGACCACACGATTTCATGTATTTTGTGATCCCCGCAAATGCACCTTGTGAGGAAAGAAAGAGCCGACACTTTTCCTTCCACTTATTTATTCAACAAATATTTATCAAATCCGGCACACTCTGGGTGACAGATCAGAGAATACAGAAAGTAAAAACTCCTGCCGGCCTCGAGTTTACACTCTAGCCAGAGACACAGACAATAAACAAATAGCACAGAAAGGAAGGACAGAACGTGATGGGAGGCGTTAAGGGGGCAAGACGAAACACTGGGGATGCTGGTGGTGGGGCTGATGTTTGGAATGAGCGGTCAAGAGAGACCTTACTGAGAAAGGGACATCTGAACAAAGACCTGAAGGGGGACAGGTGTCAAGCCATCCCACTGTCAAGGACAAACGTCCCAAGGAGATGAAGTGGTCTGTGCAAAGGCCCCGGGGCATTAGGGGGACAGCAAGGAGGCTGGAACAGGATGGATGAGAGCAGGTGAGAGAGAAAGAGAGAAGGGCAGAGACAGACCAGCTGGTGGACCTAGAAATCCAGCATGTGGAGGCAGAGGAGGGTACTCAAATTCTGGGTTCATACCTTCAAAGTGCATGAAATTAAAAGACAACTTGATCCTTGGAAGAAAAGTTATGACAAACAACAGCATATTAAAAAGCAGGCATCACCTTGCTGACAAAGGTCCAGACAGTCAAAGCTATGGTTTTTCCAGTAGTCATGTATGGATGTGAGAGCTGAGCCATAAAGAAGGCTGAGCGCCGAAGAATTGATGCTTTTGAACTGTGGTGTTGGAGAATACTCTTGAGAGTCTCTTGGACAGCAAGGAGATCAACGCTGAATATTCACTGGGAGGACAGAAGCTGAAGCTCCAGTACTTTGTCCACCTGATGAGAAGAGCCGACTCATTGGAAAAGGCCCTGATGCTGGGAAAGATTGAGGGCAAAAGGAGAAGGGGCCATCAGGGGATAAGATGGTTGGATGGCATCATCGACTCAACGGACATGAGTCTGAACAAACTCTGGGAGATGGTGAAGGATAGGGAAGCCTGGTGCTGCAGTCCATGGGGTCGCAAAGAGTCAGACATGACTGAGCAACTGAACAACCACCACCTTCAAAGGGGGAGCTACAAGAGTTCCTGATGGTTTGACTGTGAAATCTTAGAGTCAAGAGTGCCTTTAAGTTTCAGGCTGAGCAGCTGGAAAGAAGGCAACATCAACTTGGAGGGGGGGGCTCTGGGGGCTTCAGAAGAAGACCTGGGGCTCACTGTTGGACACATCAATGTGAGGTGACACTCAGCTGTTGTACTATCTCCTGCCATAACAAATAACTGCAAACCAGGCAGTTTAAGACAATGGACAGCTGTGTGTCTTCTCACACAGCTCTGGGGACCAGAGGGGTCATGATCCCTCTGGGGGTCAGTCTTGCTCCCTTCTCTGGCTGGGGCAAAGTCTTGGCGAGCGGTGAGGGTGGGCGTCTTAGGCAGAGAGAAAGCAGGCAACAGAGAGCCTTTGTGGCATGGCTGTTGGGACCTGCAGGGACACTGCTTCTCCCAGGGGGTTCCCCACCGCATCAGCACAGGGACAGTGCCGTCGCCCTGTGCAGCTGAGTGAAGGCATCGGATACTATCAGGAATGACTTCTTAGTTACACACATCATCACGTCTCTAACACCAGGTGAGACCTTCAGAGAGCTTCCCAGGAGGCTCAGTGGTAAAGAACCCGTCTGCCAACGCAAAAGCCACAGGAGACGCAGGTTCCATCCCTGGGTTGGGAAGATTCCCCTGGAGGAGGAAGATTGGGAAGGTTGGGAAGATTCCTGGAGGAGGAAATGGCAACCCACCCTAGTATTCTTGCCTGGAGAATTCCATGGACAGAGAAGCCTGGCGGGCTATAGTCTGTGCGGTCAGAAAGAGTGGACACGACTGAGCGACTGCACATGTGCACACGAGACCATCAGATCATTTGCTGGAACTCGAATTCTTAGGTGAGCAGGCCCAGAGACAGGAAAACGAGGATCTCATTATGGTTAGATGATGCGGGAAGGAGGGAGCTGGGTTTCAAACTCCAACCTTCATCTCTTCTCGGCATCTCTGCCATGGTGACCTTCAAACCCCAGTGACAACCCTCAGAGCAGAAGAGCGTTTGGACTGAGGGTTTGAGTTGCGAGCAACAGAAACAGAATCTGGCTCAAACCCTGGAGGACGCTTTGCCAACGACCACATCGCAAACTCCGAAAAGCAAGGACGCCCTGTGCAGCACAGGGGTCTGTACTCAGAAACGTGTAAGAACCTGTAATGGTGAAGAATGAGAAAGGGTATGTATACATAACAGAATCACTTTGCTGAATACCCGAAACTACACAAGACTCTACATCAACTCTACTTCAACTTAAATAATCAAAAAAGCCTGGACTCACACGGGAAGACACTGCAGCCCCACCCCAGGCACCACCTGCATGACACACGCTGGGGCTGCCTCAGCGGCTGGCTCCCCACACTGCACACGGCAGCTCTGCCGTGGTCACTCCTGGCAGGATGGACCCACCAGGTCCCTTGTCCTTGGGCTCCTGGCACCGATTCCAAGACTGGAGAAACCGCAGCCCAGGGAACGAGCCCTTGCCCACCTTCCAGGTGGCCTGGCAGGAGGCAGACGCTGCTCTGCCTGGTTCCCCAGACTCAGAGGAGAGGCTAGGGTACGGGCGGCCAGAATTCACAGCAGGGTTCACGGTGAGGAGCTGGAAGTGCCCCCTTGATACAGTGACAAACAACTATCCTCCGAGAATACAGCCAGCCCTCAGACTGTGGACCATTCCAGACCACTGCAGTCAATCAAGTCACTTGGATTTTGTTTGCGATTTCCCAGGGCATAGAAAAGTTATGTTTTCACTACACTATAGTCTATTAAGTGTGCAATGGCATTATGTCTAAAAAAACAATAGGCATACCTTAATTTAAAAATACTGCTATAAAACAGTAAACCATCTGCAAACCATCATCTGAGCTTTCATCGAGTCTTAAAGTTGTTGCTGGCAGAAGATCTCGCCTCAGTGTTGGTGGCTGCTGACTGATGCGGGGTGATGCTGAAATTTCTTAAAATAAGACAACAATGATGTCTGTTGCATCAATTGACTTTACTTTTTATGAACAATTTCTTTGTAGCCTGCAGTGCTGTCTGATAGCATTTTACCCACAGAACTACTTTCAAAATCTAATCCTCTCAAACTCTGCCACTGCCTTATCAACTAAGTTTATGTTATTTCTAAATCCTCTGTTGTCATGTCAACAATTAAGTTCACCATCTTACATGGGTACAGTTCACAACACCCCAAAACAATTCGAATAGTAACATCAAACACTGAATGCAAAGGGGGTGGGGACATATGTATATTTATAGGTGATTCACCTTGTTGCACAGAGAAACCAACATGACATTGTAAAGCAATTATTCGTCAATTAAAAAGAATGCAAATCACAAAAAATGAGAAAAGATTAACCACAGGTCACTGTAAGAATATTGAAAACAACAGTAAAAAGTTTGAAACGCTGCCCGGTTTACCGCACTGGGACACAGAGACACGAAGGGAGCAAACAGCGTTGGACAAATGGTGCCCACAGACCTGCTGGACTCAGAGTGGCCACAGTCCTTCAATTTGTAAAAACAAAACAAAACAAAACAAAACCCAGTATCTGTGAGCACAATAAAGCAAAGCTTGTACAGTGTCGGCGGCGTCAGGCTCTTAGACTGAGCTCAGCGCATCCCAGTTAATACAAAACAACGGGCACCTGGGGAAGCCCAGTGGTCACCCCCCCCCACCCCACCCCCCCTGGTCTGTCCAGGCTCAGCTCTTCCTCTGTCACCTCCCACCCCAACTCGGTTCAGCAACAACAGACCGCATGCTCTGCGCACCCTCAGCCCCACATTTTCTGTCTGCTGCATTTTTTTTTTTAGGTAAAATTTACATACAGTGAAACACACAAGTTCTCCTCGCCATCTGATGAGCGTGGACAAGGGCATACACCTGTGTGAGCCAGGCCTCCCTCAAGATCTAGAGCTTTCCAGTACCCAGTCATTCTCTCAGCACGCATCCCTAGAAGCAAATACTGATCAGGTTCGACCACTTAGGGTTTGTTTTGCCTGTTCTGAATGCAAGTATGTACGTTTTGCCCACAGTTCGCCTATCACTTAGCAAAACATTTGTGAGATTCTCCACGGGTTGCTGTGAACATTAGCTGTGAGTCTGTGACTTCTATGCACTGTGACGGGATCAAGGGGTCCGTGTGGGCCGCACAGAGGCTGGGAGACTCACGCTTTCAACAAGGGTTCTTCTGATCCCTGACGCTGGCTGAGGAAGGGGGGGGGGGCCGAATCCACCACAATCAGGCTGGTTTTCAACTCTTTATACAATGATGATTTGGCTAAGACTGCATTTGGGGAGAAGAAAAACGACTTTTTTTCTACAGAACGAGCATCATCTGAGAAGCACGGACTGTGGACCTCAGGTCTGCTTGTTTCTCTCTGAACCCAGCACATCCTCCAACCAGAAACACATTTCACAACCAAGAGACTGAGATTTCAGAAAATCAATGAACAGGTGTCTGGCTGCCCAGTGTGGGTGAAAGAGCCCAGAGACTCAGTAGAGAACTCGGGAGACGTTCAGCTAACTGTGCTGGGAGTGCAGGTAAGGGTGGGGGTGAGGGTGAGGGTAGGGGTAGGGTGGGGTGGGGGCAGGGGTGAGGTAAGGGTGAGGTAGGGGTGGGGGTAGGGGTAGGGGTGAGGTAAGGGTGAAGTAGGGGTGAGGTTAAGGGTGAGGTAGGGGTGAGGTAAGGGTGAGGTAGGGGTGAGGGTGAGGTAGGGGTGAGGGTGAGGGTAGGGGTAGGGTGGGGTGGGGGCAGGGGTGAGGTAGGGGTGGAGGTAGGGGTGAGGTAGGGGTGGGGGTAGGGGTGAGGTAAGGGTGAGGTAGGGGCGAGGCAAGGGTGGGGGTAGGGGTGAGGTAGGGGTGGGGGTAGGGGTGAGGTAAGGGTGAAGTAGGGGTGAGGTAAGGGTGAGGTAGGGGTGAGGGTAAGGGTGAGGTAGGGGTGAGGGTGAGGTAGGGGTGAGGGTAGAGGTAGGGTGGGGTGGGGGCAGGGGTGAGGTAGGGGTGGGGGTAGGGGTGAGGTAAGGGTGAAGTAGGGGTGAGGGTAAGGGTGAGGTAGGGGTGAAGTAGGGGTGAGGTAAGGGTGGGGGCAGGGGTGAGGTAAGGGTGAGGCAGGGGTGAGGTAGGGGTGGGGGTAGGGGTGAGGTAAGGGTGAGGTAGGGGTGGGGGTAGGGGTGAGGTAGGGGTGAGGGTGAGGGTAGGGGTAGGGTGGGGTGGGGGCAGGGGTGAGGTAAGGGTGGGGGTAGGGGTGAGGTAGGGGTGAAGTAGGGGTGAGGTAAGGGTGGGGGCAGGGGTGAGGTAAGGGTGAGGTAGGGGTGAGGGTAAGGGTAGAGGTGGGGTGGGGGTTGGGGGTGAGGATGGGGCGGGGGTAAGGGGGTGTGTGGGGGGTGTTGCAGAGGAGACATCTCTGAATTACACAACAGTTGAGGCTTTCTAGGCAAACTCTTCGGAAATTTGGGCGACTGGATGAAATACAAGCAGTGGAAGCTCACCGGAGACTGCAGGCGGAGCAGCGGCCTGGAGACGCCGAGCCTCTCCTGCCCCTGGATGGGCGACTCGGCGCCGAGGGGCCGGAGGACCCGCATTCCCACGGAGCCCGCCGGCACTGGCCTCGGCTCCTGCCGGGCCGTGGCCGACCCCTGGGCGCCGGCTCACATCACGACGGAGCCATGCAGGGTGCGGGGGAAGCGTCCAGGAGCCACGGCGCCTGTCAGCTTCCTCACACGGCGGTCCCGGGGAGCAGCTTCCTCACACGGCGGTCCCGGGGAGCCGGCCCTGCACCGCGGCGGCGGCCGGCCTTCGGGAAGACGGAGAGCCGCCGCCGGAGTCTGGCACAGGCGGCTCCTCGGGCACCAGCGCGCGGCCCTCCCCTCGCACCCCATTGGGCCCTCGGCACCACGTGACCACGTGGCGCCCCGGGGCGCTTGGGGCAGGCGGGCGGCCACGTGCTCATGGCTGGAGCTCCGTCAACACGGGAGAAGGAGAGACGGGACTTCGGTGCTCAGCCCTTAGGGGAGCACAGAACGATGTCAGCCCCACGGCGGGCATTTCTTTTCTCCTGCCAGAGTGGGGAGACTTCTCATCCATTTTCTTTTTTTAAATTGAGTGAGAGTCTTTAAACCCTCCAGTGTCTTTCCAAAGTTTCACCCACCCGCTTTCCATCATTTCACAATCACCCTTCTTTCCCTTCCCACCTCTATACTGCCCCCCCCTTTCCCCTCTCGCCACTGGTAACTACTAGTATGTTCTTTGTGATTCTGCTGCTTTTTTGATTTACTAGTTGTATTTCTTAGACTCCATATACGAGTGATATCATACAGTATCTGTCTTTCTCGGATTGCTTGCACTAAGCATAATGTCCTCCAGGTCACCCCCTGTTGCTGCAAATGGCAACACTTCATTCTTTTTTATGGCTGAGTATTACTCCCTTGTATATATACGCTATGCCTTCTTTAGCCACTCATCTGTTGATGGACACTTGAACTGCTCCCGTGCCTTGGTGATTGTAAATAATGCTGTTATAAACATTAGGGTGCGTGTATATTTGCAAATCAGTGTTTGTTTTTTTCCCAAGGTCTATACCCAGGAATGGAATTGCTGAGTCATATAGTAACTAGTTTTTTGAGGACCTGCCATACTGTTCTTCACGGTGGCTGTACCAATTTACACTCCCACCACTAGTGGAGGAGGGCCCCTCTTTCCCCACACCCTCTCCAACATCTGTTATTTGTGTTCTTTTTGATGCAGGCCATTCTGACAGGTGTGGGATCACATCTCATTATGGTTTGGGTTGCATTTTCCTCTTGTCATCCAGGCTTTACAGTCTGGCCTCCTCTGCTTCTCCGAACAAAACTGGTCCAAGGACGCTCCCCCACCGCCTCCCGCCCCGGCCCCCACGCCCACTGTTGCTGAACCCCTCATCTGAAACACAGCATTCCTCACTGCCACTGGTGCCCCCGCATTCTTCACTTCCTTCCCTCCTGTCGGGTCCTGCTTTGGCAGTCTGTACACGTACTTTGAACTCTGCGGACTGCATCTATTTTCTGGTTTCCCCGAAAATAGAGTTTATAGGGCTTTGAAATTCTCCTTGCTCCTAATGCATGATTTCCAGGAGGAAACGCAGAAAAACGTTCCTAGGCGGCCACGTTCATTCTGAAAGGCGATGGGACAGTTTAACGAGTCACTTTGTTCTGGTTAGAAGGAGCCAAGGACGCGGCCTCTTGAGACATGGAGGCAGAAGGGATTGCTCTGGGAGGCAAACGGACTGCGGCAAGTAGCAATTTAGGCCGGTGATGAAAAATCTACTTGATGGACTGACAATGAGAGTGGACGAGGAGGAGAGAATGCATCTGGGTTAGTGCCTTCCTGACTGCCAGTCCCAACAACCTTGGCAATTTTGTCCCAGGCAAAATCTGACCCAGAGCTCTCCACAGACAGTGGCCCAGATGCACTTTGGAGACAGGTGATGATCCTACAAAAACAGTAAAAACTCCAAGGAAGTGAATGTGCAAGCATTGCTGAGAAAATGGAAAGCAGCATCTCAGTGGGCGCCACTGTCCCCTGCCGGGCATTGTGACCGCGGGATGGAAATGGACCGATGAGAGAGCTGACAGCGCCGCTGCGAGGGCCCTGTGTCTGCCGCCAGCCGGCTCCAGGTGGACAGAGCCGGAGGGCCGCTCACTGTATCTACTCACATGACCGTGACTTGCAGCGCTGAGGCTTCTCTAGGGCGTCCAGTTGTGTTGTTGTTCTCCCTTTTGAAGCAGGCTGCTGACCTCAGAGCGGAACCATGAACATTTCTGGGTCCCCACAATGTAACCTGTTGCCAGGTTAATCCTAGCCAGCGTGTGACGTGTTTGGATAGAGAACATGGCCAGGTGTCCTTCTGGGGTTGCCATTTCCTTGGAGTACTCCAGTACTCTTGCCTGGAAAATCCCATGGACGGAGGAGCCTGGTAGTCTACAGTCCATGGGGTCACAGAGTCGGACACGACTGAGCAACTTCACTTCACTTCACTTCATTTGGGGCATCCTTCCACAGTTAGCCACCCTGCCGGGGACTGAGGACAAGGTATTGTTCTGTTTTACAGGCAAACAGTAGTGATAGCTGGTGTTGCTGCAGCCATTTTGTGACCCCCAAGGCAAAAAAACCAAACAGGAGTTTGCTCAAATCCATGCCCATTGAGTTGGTGATGCTATCTAACCATCTCATCCTCTATCACCCCCACCTCCTTTTTGCCTTCAGTCTTCCACAGCATCAGCTGACTTTTCCAATGAGTTGTCTCTTTGCATCAGATGGCCAATGTATCGGAGCTTCAGCTTTAATCCTTCCAATGAATATTCAGGGTTGATTTCCTTTAGGATTGACTGGTTGATCTTGCAGTCCATGGGACTCTAGAGTCTCTCCAACACCACAGTTCAAATGCATCAAGTCTTTGGTGCTCAGCCTTCTTTAGGTCCAACCCTCACATCCATACATGACTACTGGAAAAACCATGTAGCTCTGACTATACACACCTTTGTCAGCAATGTGATTTCTATGACTATACACACCTTTGTCAGCAATGTGATTTCTCTGATTTTTAATATGCTGCTTAGGTTTGTCACAGCTTTCCTTCCAAGGAGCAAGTGTCTTCTGAATTTCATGGCTGCAGTCACTGTCCACAGTGATTTTGGAGCCCAAGAAAATAAAATCAGTCACAGCTTCCACTTTTTTCCCTTCTATTTGCCATGAGGCTAAGTTGGGAAGATGCTACAGGGGTGAGGGTTTGAGGGTCATCTAAGGGGTGCTTGTACATAACAGTATTTGGCACGTGGGCCTCAAAAGGTGGAGATCACATTATCGAAGGGGTCAAGGGCCATTTCTGGACTCCCTGTGCTGCTTGCGTGCTGGTTTCATCAGCCACCCTCTCTCCACAGCCGCGGACAGCAGCCGTGGCGGTTTCCCTTCCTCCCTGGGGTCTCAGTCCCGACGGTCAGTACTTTGGGCTTACCTGGTGGCCTTTGTTTTCTCTCTTTTCTTTTTTTTTCCCCAATATGCCAATTTTTCAGTTAGGCAAAAATTCATGTTTTCTAAAATATATATATATATTATACATATTACTTAAATATACATATAGAAAAGCTTTTCTAATGCTTGATAAAGGCTCGAGAAAGAACATAAAAAGAAGAGATGGAGAAACTGGGAAACACAAACTAAATGAAATGGGAACACTGAATAGGAAATAGAAAAAGTGAAACAGACGAGACAGGCTTTTGTTTTCTCTTAATGACCGTTAGGGGAGGGTGTCCCTCGTGCCAGGCTGGAGTTGGGACAAGTCTTCGCTTTCACGGGCTCACGAGCTCACAGCACCGCGTGTTACATTTGGGGAATAAACACCTGAAGTGCTGGGAAAGTGGAGGTGCCTGATGTCGGTTCCCTTTCTAAATTGGACCACAGATGATTGTCTCTTTAAGAAAAGGGGTTCGAGGGTAGAGTTAATGGCGGCCTCCAGGAGGGTTTGTACCAAGGGCACCGTCAGGGACTGCTGTTGGTGTCCCTGCGGCGAGCCACAGCCAACCCGCAGCACGCGCTGGAAAGAGAGTGATCGTTGAGGCCCAGAGAAACAGATGGAGAGACAACGTGAAAAGGGAGACAGAGATAAGCCAAAGAACACCAAGGATCACGAGCAACCAACAGAAGCTGAGAGAAGAGTATGGAACATGTTTCCCTCAGACCTTCCAGAAGGGGCCAGCTGTTTGAGAAACCTTAATTTTGGCCTTGTGGTTTCCAGAACTGTGGGACAGGACATTTCTTTTGGTAAAAAGAAAAAAAAAGAAAAAGAAAAGGGGTTTTGAGGGGAAGTTGTTTGAACTTTGCTCTTACTTTTGGGTACCTGGAGGCAGAGTTCTCTTTCCATGAGACGAACCATATATGAAATAAATTCCCAGAAGACAGAAGACATTTAGCAGATTTCCGGGAGGGAGGGCTATTTTAAAACAGGGAAGGCGTTTCACAAGAAATGGGGCTGAGAATAAAGTCCTTCCATCCCCACAGTAACTCTGGATTCTGAAGAGAAAGCACCGTCAAGGTCTCCCCATCTCACCCAGACAGAGGCCTGGGAGCCACATGACTGTTGATTACAGACCTTGGCCAGACGAGGGGAGAGCCGAAAGTCAAGATGAAGGGAGGAAGCCCGAGAAGGAGAGACACGTTTTTCTGCCATTGAGGTCAGCTCTGTGTTGGGGCCCTGGCTCTCATCTGGAGACATAATGAACCTCAGGAGGGAGGACAAGGCAGGTCACAGCAAACTGACGCGGCAGAACACAGCCAGTCGCTGACCTCAGCGCCGGGGAAAAAACCAATCAGGGAGGCGGGGTACAGCCAGGAACGCAGGGTGCCTCCCGGCCCCCCGGTTCGTGCGCAGCCCTCTCTTGGGATGAGCAATTGTTAATCTCCGAGCAATAAAATAAGAACCGCACGTAAACAATACTCAGGATCTTAAAAAATGAAGCCATTAGTGTAACTGCATATGCTGCTCATCTTTCCGCCCCTGAGACGTATGAAAAATCCTTTCTCCAGGGCCAATTAGGATCCTCCACCACTTGCTCAAGCAAAGCCACTTATTATAGGTGACAGCGTAATGCTAAAAAGACGCTTAGAAATAAAGCCCAGGCTGTAATCGTTTGGCTGAATAAGACTCCCTGGTTTTGACGGCCTCATATATCTGTTAAAAATTCTTCTTTCCGCAAAGGCTACGTCTCCGTTTACTATTTATTTTGCTGCATGTGGGGCTGGGGTAGGGGTGCGGTGGAGGGGGGTCTCCATCCACAACTCGGGTGTTTCAGAAATGTCCTGTGTTTTCAGGGTCTTGACGTCAGCTCAGGTCTGTCTCTGAGTCCCCGTCCCGCTTGGCTGGTGGGAA